GGACCGCAGTGTGGGCTGGCAGGGGGAGCAGGGCAGGCTTGCAGCCCGCTGTGCAGCTGGGAGGGATGGGGAGCCAGCTGTGCCCCCAGGCACCCCACCCGGCCCCGCCAGCTGTGCCTGCACCTGAGGCAGCAGGGCTGGGGTGTGTGGGGGGGGTAAGCCCACAGCTGCAGGCCTTCCCACCCCCCCTCTCCGCAGCCAGACCCTGCCCTGCTCCCTGAAAGAGCCCCCTGACCTGGGGGCGCAAGGGCCTGGCCGTGGGGGCTCTGTTTGCGCTCGCTGATGGGTCACAGCCAGGGGCACCGTCTGCCCCCAGCCTGGGTGCAAGGGCAGAGGGGACCCCCTGCCCCTCCGTGAGCACCCGCAGCCCCTTCCCCTCAGCTGGACCTGCCCTGTGGAGGGGTCCTGGTCTTCACAGGCCCCCAGGGCAGGGGCCAGCTGCAGGGTCCCAGCCCTGGCCCCAGCCCCGCCAGGCCCAGTCTGTTTGCTCAGCCGCCACTGTGACCCCCTGCCCCCGAGGGACAGACTGCGGGCCAGGCCGGGAGGGGCGAGGCCCCCTCCCCCCCACAGGGGCTCCGACCCCGCTCAGAGAAGGGACCACTTTTAACTTTACTATGAAGGATTTTTGTCCTCTTTTATAAACAGAAAGGACCTCAGCCCCTGCCATGTCTGCATTCCCCTGCCGCGCACCCCGACGCCGCTTTGTACAGCCCCCCGCACCCGCCCCGGCCTCCCCTGCGCGGGAGCCTGTTTCTGACCGGGGCGCTGCTCTGCTCCCCGGTGCTGTTCAGTTTGGCTCCCGGCCCCCTCGTGCCGCGCCGCGCCGCGCCGCGCTGCCCTCCGCGTTGTGCCCGGGGCCCTTTGCATTCCCGCATAGGGGCAGCGCCCGCCCTAGGCTTAGCCGTTCTGTGTAGGGACCGCGTCCGGTCTTCCCGGTCAGGAGAACCCGTAGCCTGAGAGTTGCTTGTCAAAGAAAGAAAAGAAAACAAGCGAGACCGCAAGGACCCTCTGCAGAAACCTGCATCAATAAATGGAATTTGATTTTTTTTTCAGAGCTCCGCCTGCTTTCTGGGCCTCTGCTCCTTAGGGCAGGTGTTTAAAGGCCCTGGGGCTCTGCTCAGCCCCCCCTGGGCCAGTGAAATGTCCCTGTGCCTCCAACTTCCCCCGCAGCCGTTCCCTGCAGCATCACGTGGGGTGGGAGTGCTGCCCACTGCCCTGGCCGGGCGCTGGCCGTCCCGGCACAGATGGAGCAAGCCCAGGACAGGCCGGCAGCAAGGCACGACTTCCTGCCCAGGGAGGTGAAACCGGTTCGATCACCAGTCACCCATGGCTCAATGGTGGCATCCAGTGGGGCCCCCCAGGGCCGGTCCTGGGTCTGGTCTCATTCAACATCTCCATAAATGATTTGGAGGGTGGGACTGCGGGCTCCCGCAGCAGATCTGTGGGTGACACCCAGCCAGGTGGAGCTGCGGCCGCTCTGGAGGGCAGGGGTACGATCCAGAACGCCCTGGGGAGACTGGAGCCAGGGTCTGCAATCAGCTCAGATAGGGCATGGTCTTCTGTGCGAGGAGGAGTAACCCCAGCACAGACAGGCTGAGGAATGCTTATCCAGGCTGCAGAACGGCAGAGAAGGCCCTGGGGTAACTGTGGACCAGAAGTTGAACGCGTGCCAACAGTGAGCTGCTGTTGCAAGCAGCGCTAACAGCCTCCTGGGCTGCACTCACAGCAGCGGCACTTGCACATCAAGGGCAGTGATTCTCCCACTCGACTCAGGCCTCTCCTGGGCTAGTTTGTCTAGGGCTGGGCCCCGCACTTCACACAGGATGTGGTCAGTTTGGAAAGAGACCAGAGCAACAAACTGATAAGAGGTTGGGGGAGAAAGACTGATGAGGAAAGGCTGAAAGAACTCGGGCTATTTAGTCTGGAGAAGACAACAGCCTGCAGAGACGTAAGGGGCGATGGCAGAGGATGGAGATGGGCTGCAGGGAACAGGGTGAGAGCAGGGGCCTCCAGCTGCAGCAAAGGAGGTGGGGGCCGGAGAAGCTTTCTGACTCCGGGGCGGTTGAGCATGCAGGCTGCCCAGAGCAGCGGTGCAATCTCCATCCCTGGCAATATCTAAGCTGGACAGACGCTTGGCTGGGCCCATTTAGTCAGGGATGATCCTACCCTAAGCAGAGCCTGGACTAGATGTGACCTCGTGAGGTCCCGCCCAGCCTCATTTCTTACCTGGGTGCGGGGGGGGGATGAGTGACCAGCCGCAGCCCCAGCTCACAAGGGCCCATCCTGCTGCTATGACTGCCCCAGGGTCCTGCATGTCCCAGACACGTGCTGCCCCAGCCAAGCAGATGGGGAGGAGGGAGAACCTTGGACCACCCCGCTCTGGCTGCAGTGGGGCCTGGGGTCCACGTCAGCTTGCCACCCCTGGCCCCCAGCAAGCCTCAGAGATGCCACTGACTTAGTCCAGGTTTATTCAAGATGAGAAGGGTTCACAGTGTCGCTGCTGCTGGGGCAGGGCCCCGAGAAGCTAAAAACCACATACAACACACAACCTGCCCTATGCACACCAAGGGGGCCGAGGCACAGCGCAGCAGCCCTCGCCCTGGCTCCTAGCCCCCCAGCCTGCCCTCCTCGGGCTGGAGCTCTCCCAGGCTGAGGGGCAGGGCAGGGGCCCTACTTGTCCCTGTCCGCACAGAGGCAGGCATGCGAGGCCCCGGGCCCACTGCTGGCTGGACACACGTGGCCGTTCACCTGGGCGGCCACCTTCTTGCTGGAGACAGGGCAGCTGGGCTCGGCCAGACAGGCCCATGTCTGGCTCAGCCAAGGTCGCTGCATCTTGTGCTCCAGCAGCATGTGGTTCTGGGGCGGCAGCCCCACGCAGGCCCTGCAGGAGCAGAGCGCCGCACGTCAGGGCAGGGCAGGGCCCAGGCTGGGGGCAAGGCTACGGGCAGCAAGCCCCTGGGGCAGGGGGTGCAAGTGGGGAGCAGCGAAGCCTGTGGGGAAGGCACTGGTCCCCACAGCAGGTCTGGACGTGGCACCAGTGCCCGAGGCAGGGGGTGCAAGGGAGGGGAAAGGC